ATAATAATAATAATAATAATAATAATAATAATAATAATAATAATAATTAATAATAATAATAATAATAATAGTAGCAGCATATTTATATATCACACTATAAACATACACATTCTATATACACATATACATATTTATTTTTGTACATAACTACATTTTGTACAAACACATGCATCCAATAGATATATACCATAGACCTACGTACACACATAATATATAGACATATACTATGTGGATAGATCCCATGTTAGGTTCTTGGGCGGAACTGGATGCAGTGGAAGGCCAACCCCACCAGCTGAAGAACTGACAGTTGTGACTCCACATTGTTGGGTACAATGAGTCCATTTGATGAAGCCTCCTAGGAATTAGGCAGCGCTTCACCCTGCCCTGCATCAGGGTGGCAAGGGATAACCGGAAGTGTAGGAATCTATGCCTGCTCTTATCTCTAGGAGGATTTGAGGAACTCTTTGTGGAAGCCTCTCCAGTATTTGAGGGGCTGCCCTGAAGAAGAGGTGGAGGGGGGTGGTGGTCAATTTATTCTCCAAAGCACCAGAAGGCAGAAGAAGAAGAAACAAGGGATGGGAACTAACCCAGGAGAGAAGCAACCTGGAATTCAGGAGAAACTTCCTCGCAGGGAGGACAATTAATCAGGCGAACAGAAGTTGCCTCTGGAAGTTGCAGGTCACTGGAGGTGTTTAAGAAGAGACTGGACAGCCACCTGTCTGAAATAATACAGTCTCCTGCTTGAGCAGGGGGCTGGACTAGAAGACCTTTGAGGTCCCTTCCAGCTCTATTCTGATGGATCGGTTGAGGGTCTGGGCCAAAGGCAATCCAGGCTCCAGAGTTTTCCTTTTGCTCAGCTGAGAATATCTCCTCTTCCCCCTCCCCTTTGGGTTAACCCCTTCATTCCTGGCTTCCCCGCTGGTTGGTTGGTCTCTTGGAAGCCAGCCTAGCGCCTTAGCCAGCACAAATAACTCCTACCTCTGCCTGGTGTTGTTTTGTTTTTGGGGGTTTTTTTTTTTGTTACCAAGTCGTGTGAATGTCAACTTTCTGAAAACCAGCTGACTGACTTTGGGCCAGTCCTTCTCTTCCAGCTCAACCCACCTTATGTGGGGTTGTGGTGGTTGTGCTTGTGGGGAAAATAGGAGGAAGGGGTATTGTGTGTGTTTGCCACCTGGAGTTATTTATAAAAACAATAATAATAAAGGAGGAATATGAATGAATGAATGAATGAATGAATGAATGAATGAATGAATGAATGAATGATTTATTGGCCAAGTGTAATTAGACACACAAGGAATTTTTCTTGGTGAAAATGCTCTCAGTGTCCATAAAAGAAAAGATACCTTCGTCAAGAATCATAAGGTGCAACACTTAATAATAGTCATAGGGTACAAGAAGCAATCAAATCATACTAGGAAACAGTCCATATAAATTATAAGGATACATACAGTCACAAATGGGAGGGGTTGGGTGATAGGAACAATAAGAAGATTAATACTAATAGTAATGCAGACTTAGTAAGTAGTTGGACAGTGTTGAGGGAATTATTTGTTTAGCAGAGTGATGGCGTTTGGGAAAAAACGTCCTTGTGTCTAGTTGTTCTGGTGTGCCGGGCTCTATAGCATCGTTTTGAGGGAAGGAGTTGAAACTGTTTATGTCGGGGATGTGAGGGGCCTGTAAATAGTTTCACAGCCCAGTTTTTGACTCATATATATATAAATAAATGATGTAAGTAAATGATAGGAACTTATTAGTACCTATCTCTTCCCACTTATAAGTATGTTGTTTGTATCTTTACAATTTATAGTGTTTTCTTTGTTCCCTAGTATGATTTGATTGCTATTAGTAACCTATGACTATCACTAAGTGTTGTATCTTATGATTCTTGATGAATGTATTTTATTTTTTTCTTTATGTACACTGAGATTATGCACCGAAGACAAATTCCTTGTGTGTCCAATCACACTTGGCTAATATAGAATTCTATTCTATTCTATTCTATTCTATTCTATTCTATTCTATTCTATTCTATTCTATTCTACTCTATTCTATTCTATTCTATTCTCCTTCCTTCTTTCCTCCTTCCTCTTCCTCTTCTCTCCTCTCCTCTCCCATCCTCTCCTCTCCTCTTTATTCTATTCTATTCTATTCTATTCCATTCTGATTCTATTCTATTCTGTTCTATTATTCTATTCTACTCTATTTCTATTCTATTTTATTCTTATTCCCTATTCTATTGCTATTCCTATTCCTAATTCTATTATTCTGTTCCATTCCATTCCTTCCAATATCTCTTCTCTTCTCTTCTCTTCTCTTCTCTTCTATTCCATTCCATTCCATTCCATTCCATTCCATTCCATTCCATTCCATTCCATTCTATAATAAATCTCCCAGAATTCCCCAACCCAGGGATGCTGGATGCTGTAACTTATCCATACATATCAAGCACCTGGATTTGGAGCATGTGATCATGAAGATGATGTGAGAAGGTGGAGGTTCGTTCTCCAAGCTTGTGGGTTGGTTTACGAACGTTTTGTTACCTGGGTAGGTAGCATTTTCAGTGGGTGTGTCAATGGTGGGTCTTGTGATGGATCAGGTGTGTGTGTGTGTGTGTGTGGGGTGCCAGCTGTGACAAAAAGATTGCAAAATCGGGCGTGACTCCCTTAAGCAGCTGGCTTAGCAACAGGAACCTTGTTTCCAATTGTGATTATAAGTTGAGAACTACCTCTACAGAAACGAGGGGCTCTCCATCTTTGCATCTGAAGCCCCCCCCCTACTCAAAGATGGCTCGTTCACTTTTCCTGCACACGGAGATGTGATTCCCACAATTCCACAACAGTCGCAGTTCTCTGATTATTTTGTTTTGTTCTCTTTTCCGAAGCAAAGAGCTGGCCTCTCTCAGAGTTGGCAAATCATGGTCTTGGAGGTTCTTCTGGCAACTGGTAATGGGTCTGTCCCATCCTTTGCCAACCATTCTGGCATTTGCCAAGTAAACCATCTGGATGTTGGCAATAGGGGAGACCTTGTAATCCCTCCCTCCCCACCGGGGAACCTCTCCCGTTTACCATAGAGAAACGCCTTCCTCGTGGTGCAGAAGTTGCCAGATTCTTGCAGGGATGGCTGGATAAACATCTGGAAGGGAGACCAACAGTTGTGAGCATTCAAAGTGGGAAGCTTAACTAGAAACTCAGAAAACTCAGAAAACTTGTGAGTAGGACATGGAAAGCAACAGGGCCTAAAGCTACGTGCAGAAGGTTGGTATTACATCTTCCTTTCTTTTTAACAACAAACTAAACAACAAATAAAACCTTCTTTCAATTATACAGTGTGTCAGTTTGGTACATATGTCGTGTGCGCAATATTTATAAACCTTTCCTCTTAAGTTTACATTCATATTATATTCTAATCCACATTCTGTATCATGTTGTATCATTATTATATTACAAGGGCCTGCCTGAAACTCTGATAACATTTGGTGGGAAAGCTGTACAAAAAAATCTAGAAATTCGAATAAGGGGAAATTTTCCTTCTCCGTGGAATGAATCTGAGTTATTTATGACTGACTTTTTTCCCCTGTGGTTTTAATTATCCTGGTTTTATTCATTTTTCTTGAAGGACATGTCCGTGTAGGCGCATTTACAAGAACCAGTCAAAAGTTCATTCATTTATGTACCCGTCGCAAATGTTGGACCTACGATTCCCATAAATGCCAACCCAAGTCTGATCTAGTGCCCTTCCCTTCTAGCTCTCAACATCTGGATCACGGACATTTTTTAACAGCTGGAATCCAACCCAGGTGGAGGACATCAAGTTGGGGGCAACCCAGTTGCGTCCTCTCTTGCAACACTCACCCGTCTCGCTCAAGACGCCCCTTTGGTTGGTGGATGGGCGTGTGATCTGCGTCGTCTTTCTCACAAACCACCTTCTTCTGGGCAGCATGCAGCTTACCAAGTGATGGATCCCACCCAGGGTTGTCTTTCCCCTGTCCTTCCTTCAACCAGCTGCGCTGCAGGGCAAGGATGTCGTTCATGTGTTCCTACAGGGAAGAGTAGAATTTGCAGGGACTCCTTTACCTTTTTTTTTTTTTTAACCTGTTTGGCTGCATTGTCCCCAAAGGTGCCTTTTTTCCCCCCCAAGAGGCAACTGGACTTTCTGGTTTTTATTTGAAGAGGTTTTGCTTCTCATCCAAGAAGCTTCTTCACTATTCTGACTGAATAGTGGGGAACGGAAGGATTCATACTCCTTGCAGACAGTTGGTCATTTGCATCCTTTTTTACAGAGTCATTGAGGCCACTTGGAGATTTATCTGTGTCTTCAGGGTCAAAGAGGCCATCAAAGTCCAAATTGAACAGCCCTCCCTCAACAGAGGGGGGGGGATACGACATCATCAATTTCCAGTCTCCAACACGGTCCTTTCAGCAGTTCCAAGGAGGCTCCACCCCCTTTCGCACCACTCAGGTGACCCTGAGGACACAGAGAAACCTCCAAGGGGCCTCAACAACCCTCTAAAAGGATGCAAATGACCAGCTGTCTGCAAGGAGTATAAATCCTTCCCTTCCCCACCATCCAGTCAGAGCTGAAGAAGCTGCTCGGATGAGAAGTGAAACGTCTTCAAAGAAAAAACCAGAAAGTCCAGTTACCTCTTGAAAAATAAATCACCTTTTGGGTCAACCATGACCTGGAGGACTGAAAAACTCCACAGATACTTGGCTGCATTGTTTTCCAATGGGAATTTCCATCTTTTTGGAGAAGAAAATTGTAGGGCTGAGTGTCTAAAGTCGCCTGGAGTTCCCTTAAAGGCTTTTACCACGTACTTGTGTGCAACAAGGTATAACTATCCTCGCCTCCAAAACCACCTGTTGTGCCCCTGGTGGAGACTGACTCTGAGGGAGAGGAGGAACAGCCAACAGGGAATGGAAGTGGGGCTCCGGAGGTTGTGGAGGAGGCTGGGGAAGGGCAGAGGCCGGCTGGGCAGTCAGAGGAGGACCCAGGTCCATCCCCTCTCCATCCTAGGGCACGCAGGGAGGAGAGGATAAGGGAGAGTGGTCTACTGCGCAGGAGAGGGCCTTGATCCTCTTCATGGGCTGCAGCTGTGACAACTGAATAAGAGGACGGACCTGCGTATGGGCCAGTGCTGGAAACAAAGCATGGAAATATCTCTAGTTTATTGTTCCTCTCTGAGTTTGGCGTCCTTCCCAGTGTGTGTTCTGATATCTGTGGACGTCTTCAAGCCCTTATCTTGCCTGATTTGTGTTGTTTTTTACTTTTTATAATATAACAGCACTTTTTTCCTTCTTGTAACAGTTTGTGTGGGAATTTTTTGTCTCCAGTCAAGGATATTTGGAGCTTGGAAGCAAAATGAAGGAATAAAAGGGGCTTCACCTGTTTTTTTTTGTGACTGTGTTTATTTTGTATCCCACCCTGGGTCATCACAGCACCAATGCATCAAAGCACACCCCAAAAGCGAAGGTATCCCACGGCTCCAACTACCTGGGCTTAAGGAGTTGACTCACCTGAACCAGCTGCTCTTTCAGCGCTTCCAGAACAGACCGACTTTCCAGGTGAAGCTGCTCTTTCTGCTGCCTCAACTCCACCTCCTGAAGCACGGGAAAATTCAAGTGATTACATGACTTGGGAAAGTCGAGAACGGATAAGAAAAGGAAGCACTCCGAAGTAACTCCGCTAACCTCCTCACGACAGACCAAACCAGCAGCTGCCTCCCACTCACCTTCTCTCTCTGGATCTGGGAAATACGCTGCCTTCGCTGCTCAAGCTCGTGGTTGAGATCCTGGATGTAACTCTGAATTTCTTCCTTCACCTCTCGCAGGGCCTGGAGGGCAGCGCCGGAAGAGAGAGGAAGGACACCTCTGGGAAAGGAGGAAACACACGGCGGTGGAACTCGCCTTTTTTGCAATTACGACATTGTGACAGCGTTTTAGGGTATCTACAGGCGGTCCCACTTAATGACTATCTTGCTTAGATGGAAATTTTGGGCTCAGTTGTGGTTATAAATAGAGGACTACCTGCATTTGATTTGTTACTTGAATTTTGCATTATGCTAGATCTTAAGCAGGAGTACTTATACCAACCCTTCCATCCTCCCTCCCTCCCATTCATCCTATTTTCTCTTTCCTTCCTTCCTTCCTCCCTCCCATTCATCCTATTTTCTCCTCCCTCCCTCCCTTCTCAGATTGCTGGGGGGCAAGTGGCTGACTCTGTAAACAGCTTGGAGGGCTGTAAAAACACTGTCAAGTGGTCAATAAGTCTAAGCGCTATTGCTATTTCTGGAATCCCCTATTAAGAAGTACATCTCTAGAAAATTGGCTGCCCTCTTAAAACACCCCAGAAAAGGGAAAACTCCGCTATTCTACCTGCACAGCAGGTGAGGCCGCAGGGCTGCCTTCTCAGGAAGGACCTCCTGGAGCTGCTGACATGCTATGGCAACCTGAGTGGCCCAAAAATGATCCATCTGGTCAGCCTGGGCCCAAGCTTCCTGCTCCCGGAGGGACATCCGGCTGCATTCTACTTGCAGATGTTCTTCGCCTTCTTTCATCTGTTGCAGCTTCGTCCTCATTTCTTCTCTTTCTTGCATCCTTTCCTGGGGGAGAAAAAACACACAAGACCTGAATCAGAGAGGCTCAGCAGACGGGTTTCTCACTGCTGCGACAGAGGCGATGCTGGTTGTCACCTTTAAAGCCCTACCTGGCTTGGGGTCGAGTTACCTGATGGGCTCTTCACCTTGCCATTCAAACAGGGGTGGGGAAGGAGGAGGGGGGGTCAGCAATCCAATTAGTGCACCCATAGAAAGCAGAACTCTGAGGCAGGTAGATCCAGTTTTATTGGCTACATCATATTGGTGTTCTGACCCAAAGACCCTTTTCCAATAAAACAAACACGAACCAAAGGGAACACAAACCTTTTAATGATTCTTGCGAATCCCCAGTTAAAAGGCTGCTGCAAACTAATTAACTTTGATAAGCACGAGCCTCACCAAAACTGTGTGAGGCTGCCAAGAATAACAGATAAGTTTACCTAGAGATATTTTACAATACAAGAGTCTTCAAATACCAACTAAGATACTGCAACGCCCACGAGGCTGAGTTTCAGAACGTCTTTGCTTCCTGCAAAGAACGTCCGATTCACAGCTGGCTTTTATCTTTTTGAAGGAGGGGCCATTACCTTGCAGCCTTACTCCCAAGTCGCCTCTGCTGCTGCAACTGCTCTTTCCTACGAGCAACCCTGCGCGTGCGCGCACTTGGCACAGGCTCCTCGGGAACCTCCTCATCGCTGCTGCCAGCCCCCACAATCTCTGAAGGCAGCAGTCCATTCCCTGATGGTCCTGGCCCCTCATCTGAGTCCTTGCTCTCCTCAGCCGTCTGCGCCTGCCGCCGGCTAACCACAACAATTGGTCAGCTAGAAAGGTTTGAGACCCAAGCGCCACGTGACTGGGTGAGCTCCCGTCCTTAGCTCAGCTCCTGCCCACCTAGCAGTTCGAAAGTATGCAGACACGAATAGATAAATAGGTACCACTTCAGTGGGACGGTACAGCGCTCCGTGACGTCATGCTAGCCAAATGACCGCAGAAATGTCTTTGCTGGCTCAACGGTCTTGAAATTCTTCCTGTATGCGGGGGGGGGGGGGGAGGGGTTGTTGTCTCACCTGCTCCAGCTCCTCTCGCAGCCTCTGAAGAGCTTCATCCTTTTCCTTCTGCAGCCCAACCTGGAGTTCTTCCAGGCTGGCTCGTTTCTCCTCTTCCAACAAACGGGCCTGGTTCTCCAAGCCCTCGATCTTCTGAAATACAAAATGCCCCCGACGGGCTGTTCTCACTCCTGCCTTGCTATCTATCCCATGGGTTCTTTGGTTGAGTACCCCAAGGAGCCAAGGGAGGGAGGGGGGAGATGCCTGGTTCTCTACCAAATTCAGGCAACCATGACTGTAGACCTCCTCTCACCGTCCAGCTGGGCATTCAGAGGAAGACCCAGGCCCACCCCCTTTGCATCCTAGGGCACGCAGGGAGGAACAGAGAAGGGAGCAATGTGGGTTACGGGGGAGAAAGAGGCCCTGATTCCCTTCATTAGCTGCACTGGGAAAACAGGATAAAAACGGCGGCTGCACACAGAACCTTGCTGGAAGCAAAGCATGCATCATCTTTGTTTGTCAAGTCTTATCTGGGTTCTGGCATCCTCCCAACTGTGTTTCATTATCTTTTGAGTTCTGCAATTCCTTATCCTGCCTGTCTCATTAATTGCTGCAGAGTGGTTTGTGTTGGTTTTTAGGTACAATTTAGATGTACTTTTGGTCCGGACTAAATTTCTTCCCTTTAAAAACTGTTCTTGGGAGAGTTTTTTTTTTTTCCTCCAGCCGATGATAACTGGACATTGGGGGTCAAGTTGGAGACATTAAAGGGACTTTGCCTACTTTTATGAGTTTGTTGCTTTTCTGCCATGCCCTGGATCATCACACCTTGATGGTCCTCATCAAGGACCATCAAGGAACCAGAGCGACACCATAAGCTGATCAGAGTAGTGTCTTCATTGCTGCTTGCCGATTTACAAGAATCTTCCCAGATACTAACTACACTCTCTTGGGGACAAGCAGACAGAGGCTTCAAGGGTCTTACGGAGGATCTGGCCAGTGTCTCTTCCAGCCTCTTTACTTCACCTCCAACTCTAGCTGGAGATTCCACCACATAGGTGGAAGAATTAAGAGGGGCTACGACCCCAAACAAGTAATTCCAAACTCCCAGTACTCTTTTATTAAGGGAGTCGTTCAGGCCGCTTTTTTCTGAGTGACGTGACCCTCTTCTTCCCAGAATTACAGATTAACAGAGTTGGAAGGGACCTCGTAGGTCATCTAGTCCAACCCCCCACCCAAGCAGGAGACCCTACACCATTTCTGACAGATGGCGGTCCAGTCTCTTCTTGAAAGCTTCCAGTGATGAAGCTCCCACAACTTCCTAAGGCAACTTCTGTTCCATTGGTTGATGGTTCTCACTGTCAGACAATGTCTCCTTATTTACAGGTTGAATCTCTCCTTGGTCAGTTGCCATCCATTATTCCTGGCCTTCAGGTGCTTTAGAAAATAGCTTGACCCCCTCCTCCTCTCTGGGGCAGCCCCTCAAATATTGGAAGGCTGCTATCCTGTCTCCCCTGGTCCTTCTCTTCACTAGACTAGCCAGGCCCAGTTCCTGCAACCGTTCACCGTATGTTTTAGCCTCCAGTCCCCTCATCCTCCTGGTTGCTCTGCAGGGCTAATCTTCCTGATCCAAAGACGGTTGGTACCTGATGCCACCCACCAACCTGGTGGCCCGGCTCAGCCCAAAGATGCTCACCTGACGGAGGTCACCTGCTTCATTCCGTAAAGCACGGTTGAGTTTCCTTTCCTTCTCCAGGGCTCTCTGGAGATCCGCCTGCCTCCTACGGTCCTGCTCCCCCAGGACCTCTCGTTGCATCCGGAGGGCTGCCTGGGCGTTCGCTTCCCATTTCTTCTGCTCCTGGTGCAGAGCGTCCTGTGCCTGAGACGGACACACAATGGGACCAACAAATGAACATTTGTTGTTGTTTATTGTTTATTGTTGTTTATTGTTTATTTGTTGTTTATTGTTGTTTATTGTTGTTGTTTATTGTTTATTGTTGTTATTTGTTGTTTGTTGTTTATTGTTGTTGTTTATTTGTTTGTTGTTTGTTTGTTGTTGTTGTTTATTGTTGTTGTTTATTGTTGTTGTTTATTGTTGTCGTTTATTGTTATTTGTTGTTGTTTATTGTTTGTTTGTTTATTTGTTTGTTGTTTATTGTTTGTTGTTGTTTATTTATTGTTTATTTGTTGTTTATTTGTTGTTTGTTGTTTGTTTGTTGTTGTTTGTTATTTGTTGTTTGTTGTTTGTTGTTATTTGTTGTTGTTTGTTTATTTGTTTGTTGTTTACTTGTTTGTTGTTTTGTTTGTTGTTTATTTGTTTGTTGTTTACTGTTGTTTGTTGTTGTTGTTTGTTGTTTGTTGTTTGTTTGTTGTTGTTGTTTGTTGTTTATTTGTTTGTTGTTTGTTGTTCTTTATTATTGTTGTTTATTGTTCATTGTTATTTGTTGTTGTTTGTTTGTTGTTGTTGTTTATTGTTGTTTGTTTGTTGTTTATTTGTTTGTTGTTTATTTGTTTGTTGTTCATTGTTGTTGTTTATTGCGATCCAACCTACCACCTCGTTGGCCTTCAGCGCCATTGCCTGCTTCTGCATGGCTTCCTGCAGCTGGATGACTTCTGCCTCTCGCTCCTGGGATGGAAAGGAGAGAGAGAGAGAGGAAAAAAAAATACTATCCTGTCTGGATTTACACAACACACTCAACCCAGGTTAAGGAAAGCCAATTGCTGCATTCACCCACCTACCTAACCTGCTTTGCTGAGGTGGTTCAGGTTCAGGTGACTAATTGAACCACTGCATTGATTCGCTCAACAACCGCAGCAAGTAAGGTTGTAAAAATGCGGCAAAAGTTTCTCAACAGCTGTCTCACTTAGCAACGGAAATGTTGGGCGCTGCTGTGGACATAACTGAAGAACTCCCTGTAATTACCTTTAGGATTTTTTGTAGATCTTCAATTTCCTTCTGGAAGGTGACAGCTTGTTCCTGAAGAGCGCTGGCTTTAGCCACTTCCGAGCTCTCCACACACTGAGAAACAGAACAAGAAACAATTAATAGATTCACAGAGTCGGAAGGGACCTTGTAGGTCATCTAGTCCAACCCCACCCCAAGCAGGTGTCCCTACACCATTTCTGACAGATGGCAGTCCAGCCTCTTCTTGAAAGCCTCCAGGGATGACGCTCCCACAACTTCCAAAGGCAACTTCTGTTCCATCGGTTGATGGTTCTCACTGTCAGAAAACGTCTCCTTATTTCCAGGTTGAATCTCTCCTTGGTCAGTTTCCATCCATTGTTCCTCGTCTGGCCTTCAAGTGCCTTGGAAAATAGCTTGACCCCTTCCTCTTCTCTGTGGCAGCCCCTCAAATATAGGAAGGCTGCTCTCCTGTCTCCCCTGGTCCTTCTCTTCCCTAGAGTAGCCATGTCCAGTTCCTGCAACCGTTCATCACAGGTTTTAGCCTCCAGTCCCCTCATCACCCTGGTTGCTCTTCTCTGCCCTCTTTCTAGAGTCTCAACATCCTTTTTATAGTGTGGTGAGCAAAACTGGATGCAGGATTCTAGGTGTGGCCTTACTAAGGCTTTAATTAAAACAATTAAAACAGCCTTGACCAATCTTTAGGAGACAAGCTGACAACAACCTCTCCTTTTGTCTCTGGATGGCCCATCTCTTCTGTGGGTTCCATTCCTTTCCCCGCCTCTCCACAATCTCTCACAATTCCCAGAGGTTCAAGATGCCAGGTGGATACCTTTTGTAAAGCCCGCTTCTCTTGTAGCTGCATCTCTTCTCTTAGCTTGCAGAGGTCTTTCTCCTTGCAAGAAGACAGGAGGAAAAAAAAATATATTACTTTACCCATTCGCGGATGGGCACAGAACATAGAATAATGGAGTGGAAAGGGACCTCGGAGGTCTTCTAGTCCAACCCACCCCCGCTTGAGAAAACCCACTAAGGAAGAATAAAGACAACCTTTTCCTGGAATGCGTCCTGTTGAACCTTCTTCAGCTGTTGTTGATGTTCCTTTTTCAGGCTCTGGACAATGCCATCCAGGGCTTCCTTTTCCACCTCCAAGCCTGAGAGGTTCTTGTGCATCCTCGCTATTTCCAGATCCTTTTGGGACAGCAGAGCCTGCAAAAAACCAGATCCTCAGTCCTGCGCCTAGATCTGAGATCCCACCTTGCAAACCATGCCAGCCCCTCCTGTTGTCAGTCAGGTTCATTCCCAGTTCTGGAAAACCTCAGGGAACGACCAACCCTAAGCTCCTTTGTTACTGGATCCAGAGATGGAAGCTGAGGGCCAGGCAAGAGCCAACTTGGAAATGAGGAATTTTAAGAACAATCAACCCGTGGAACGGCTTTGCCTCCAGAAGTTGTGGGAGCTTCATCCCTGGAGGCTTTCAAGAAGAGACTGGGCTGCCATCTGTCAGAAATGGTGTAGGGTCTCCTGCTTGGGCAGGGTGCGGGGTTGGACTAGATGATCTCCAAGGTCCCTTCCAATCTGTTATTCTATATTCAATGAGACAGCTTGTCTTCGGGGGTTGTGGGAGCTTCATCCCTGGAGGCTTTCAAGAAGAGACTGGACTGCTATTTGTCAGAAATCGTGTAGGGTCTGTTTGGGCAGGGGGTTGGAATAGATGACCTACGAGGTCCCTTCCAACTCTGTTAATCTGTCTGTCTGTCACTTTGGATGTCTACTCTTAAAAAAACCAACAACCAAGTTTTAATCAATTTTTCCAAAACAAAGAAAAAAAAAAGCTCTTTTCGGTGTACAACATAATTCCGGGTCACCACTTTTACATGCAAATATGACAATAATTATCTATTCATTTTCTACATTCGACTTCCTATCTTATCCATTTTTAACTTAATTCTATTATTACCTCTCCATTCCAACTTTTACATAAGAAAAGGAACAAACAAATTAATCCTGTTCACTAATATTACTTTCATTCTAAACATCTCAGCTCATTTCAATTTATTTCAAATATTTCTTAAACATTAACGTTTCTTTCAAGCGTGACCTTTTCCGTGATACTCTTTTCTCGTTTGAATCACTAGTAATTCCCATATCTTCATACTTATTACCTTTTAATTCTTTTAACTGTCAGATTTGCAATTCCATCGCATATTCTTTCCATAGATTCTAGATTAACACAAGCTTTTACGTACAAAATAGAACATAAATTTCCTCTCCCCTTTGACTAATTTGGGAGTGTCACCTCAGTGATTTAGATAGGTAGAGACTTTTGACGTCTATTGAGTGATCCGGGGAAAAGTTTTTTTAAGGACTGAAAAAATGGGACTTGGGGACCCCTGAAGCCAGTGGATGCTCCCCTATTAAAGATCGTGGCAGGGGGCATCCCTGGCTGAAGGGAAGAGAGGAAAGCCCCCTCCCAGGTGTGCATCTTTCCTCACCTCCACCTGCAGGGCTCCGTACTTCCTGCCCTGTCGCCGGAGCAAGCTGAGCTCTTCCTCCAGTTCCACGACTTCCTTCAGGTAGATATCCCGCTTATATTCCAGCAGCACCAGATCAGCCCTGCAGCAGGGAAGAAGGACGTTAACAGAACAACAGAATAACAGGGTTGGAAGGGACCTTGGAGGTCTTCTAGTCCAACCCCTGCTGAAGCAGGAGACCCTATATCACTTTGGACAAATCTCTCCTTAAAAGCTTTCTGGAGGCAAGTTGTTCCACTGGTTAATTGTTTTAACTGTCAGGAAATTCCTCCTTCGTTCTAGACTCTCCTTGTCTCCTTAATTAGTTTCCATCCTTTGCTTCTTGTCCTGCCTTCTGGGGCTTTGGAAAATAAGATGCCCCTCAAATGTTGGAAGACTGCTATCACATCTTCCTTAATCCTTGTTTTCTCTAAACTAGACATACCCAATTCCCGCAACCATTCTTTGTAACTTTTACCCTCCTTTATAGCATAACACTTAGACTTATATACCGCTTCACAGTGATTTACAGCTCTAACTAAGGAATTTACAGGGTCAGCTTGATGCCCCCCAACACTCGGGGTCCTTAAGCCATGTTTACTGCCTTGTCTCTTTGGCAATGGGTGTCAAAGATCAGCCTCAGGGTTGCCCTCTTCATTTTCTATACTTACAATAAATATCGACTGAATGATACCTGGTCTTCTCCACTTTATCCTGATGTTCTTCCATTTGCAACTCCAGTCTCCTTGCCAGCTCCTGGCGCTCCTGTAGGGCTTCCTGAAAATTTTCCAGCTCCAGAGCCGCATGCTGGGAGGAGAAAGAAGAGGAGGAGGAGGAGGAGGAGGAGGAGGAAGGAGAAGGAGAAGGAGAAGGAGAAGGAGAAGGAGAAGAAGAAGAAGAAGAAGAAGAAGAAGAAGAAGAAGAAGAAGAAG